TATTGAAAGTGTAATGTGCTGCATTTATGATGAGAATAAAAAAAAGTGGGTCACTTAAAAGTGAAAAGTTCCAAATCTAAATTGCGCTGGGTCTGAAGTCAAGTTGCTACAGTTGTTTCAGTGAGATGAGTCATCACTGTTATTTATTGTAACTTGACCTAATATTCTGGATTAAGCTGGACAGTTTACAGTTGGAAAGTTAAAAAAGTTTCCAGTGGGTTTTTTTCTGTCTTTGACTGCATATTGTGGGTTTTAATGGACATTTTCATTTTGGTGGAAGACAATGTTCACATGTTTCACATCTTCATAAACCATTTGAATTTGTGGGCAGTTTCATGTACATGAGCCGTTTAAAGAGTTTGAACTAATATTTGATGACATGGATACAGGCACTGCGGAAAGGTCACTACCCCAAAGTATAAAAGTCCTCTACAGTATATGCAGAATGTTTTCATTGTGTAAACCAAGAACAACTTTCCTGTAACGCTGCAGACAGTGTAAATTACCTGCCAAATGTGTTTTGATGAGTTTGTGTACTGCACAGTAAAAATGTGTTCCTATTTTGTGCTGCAAAATCTCACTTGATGTGAATCTATATGGTTCTCATAGAGGCCTAGGGGTCTGGAACAACTGGGGACCTTTTTTGTATAACACCCTCTTTTCTATTTGACTACATTTAAATGTCTTAATCTCAACTGCATCATCATTAATTAAAGGAAAAAAATACCCAAAACCATATATTATTATTTTAATATTTCGGAACTTGCACAATAAAGACTACATGGTAATAATGTACTGTATTCACGTCTTTCGTAATATGTTAAAAAGCCCCTTTTCCACAGAGTTATGTAGCCGACTGCTGACAGCTGACTAATGATTGGCTGCGGAGTGTTGGTTCAGGCCACTGAGTTCATGCGACTAAAAAATGTCAGGCCTCAGGTGGTAAAGGTCACAGAGGGGTAACTTATTTAACACAGTAGGCTGTTCGAATACAGTGCAAGATAGATATATAGCCATGTTGGGAGAATTTATTGTTGCAGGTAACACACACATATCAGGACTAAAGTTAAAAATACTGACTGCTAAGTAGCACAAAGTAACTCAAAGTCCTTGTTTGTCTGATGCTCTGAATCTTTCCTTTACAGCTGGAATCACACATACTCGAGCACACAAGTGTACGCTGGCTGCATGTATTCACACCCATACAGTTTGGATGCTCAATTACCTTGGAATGTCTTCATTTCCTATTTCACTAAAAACTCAGTGGACTATGTTTGTGTGTTGGCTATAACGTTAACGGTGATGGAATATGTGTTGTTTTTAACAGGTTTAATGATAGTGATTTCAGTTACAGGAGGTTTGTTTGAGCCTGTCTTTGGGCAGCAGGGCTCTGTCCTGTGTTTTGAAACATGAGTGGTGGCTTTACTATCATTAACAATGTTTTCATGAGGTTTCACAGTGACGTGCCCATTTGTAAAAAACGTGACAGTTAGACATATAATTGGTTTAACGAGAGGGTGATTACTTTGAATACATATCTGACATAAATACATTCATAAGACAAACCTTTAGGTTTATACCAGATGCAGACATGCAGGGCAGTAGGGCCATCCAAGGTCATGAGAACACAAATGTTTTAGAAAAACAAATGTACACGTACACATTTCCAATCACACAATCCCAGTGGGGAAGTACTACTACTCCTTTTCTAAACCCTCCTGTGATGCTGAGAGACTGGCATGAATCTAAAAGGTAATCATCCGTTCCTCGCAGTCATTCAGCTGGCTCAGTGATTACACTGGTTTGTTCTGAGCAGCTGGAAGAATGGCTTTCATTTGGCTTTTATTCTGTTTGGACTGGGCTGTCTGACGTGTATTTGTGTGTGTGTGTGTGTGTTTTCTTGGATACATGTGTATTTAAAGAAATGGGTGATGACAGGAAAATGACATAGAAGAAACAGAAAATGAAAAGCTGTGAATCCAGCTTAATGATAGCTTAAATATATAACTGCATGAATATTAATTCCACTTGAATGGATTAACATCATTCACTAAATCATCTTATATGTTGAACACTGATGACTGTGCTGACAACTGTAGGGAGGCATTTAGAAACCTACGAGTCCAGACCAGGTTACATGTTTGTGCCTTTGTCAGATATTTCACTGTTTGAGTCCTTGTAAATGTTTTCTGGATGTCGGCCTCATTATGTAACTGTTCTAATTCTGCCTGGTGCGTAATGCTTTAAGGCACAAAGTCACAAACCATCCAAATATGTCACTGAATTTGTTGAAACTGGATTATATTTTATGCAGAACATATTCCATGACTCTCTGTGATTTACATAATTTCCTGATGGACAGTTAACAGCTGCTAACTGACACTGTGACTATCTAGTTAGCTCAGTTAGCTGTGCCTGGACTGGGACCTCATCAGAGCATTGGGGGAGTGTTTACACTGGTAGCATAGAACCTTGGGACCGCTGTGTGGAGGAGGTTTAGGGCGAGGGGGAGCCAGCGGGGACGACGGCAACGTAACCAGGCCCAGCAGCCTTTACGCACATCATGACAAGGCGAAGAGACCGAAAATGACATTGATGGAGGAAGCTAAGAAGAGAAAAGGGGAGAGTGACTGAGCATGAGGCCGCCGGACAAGAGTGAATGGCTTTTAGTCGCTTCGTGAAATAAAAGCTGACAGATGGTGAGCTGGCTTTCTGGCGGTTGGACTAGTAAGTAATATTAGCTGGCCTGCTATGTCTTTTGTTGTTGCACTTACTTGATGTTAGCAAAGTTATCGACTTGCTAGTTTTTGATCATAAGTAATGTAATCATATCAGCTGTCCATATTTACAACAGTGGTTTATAAGTGAATTGGGGGTGCCTAATTGCACAGAATGTCAATTTATACATAATGTTTCTTTACCTGGCTTTCAGATTATTTCTACTTTCTACCTGTTTTTAACTACCTAAAGCTATATAAGACGTATAATGTCATTGGGAAAAAGGATGTGTTTTGGTTGCTTTTGGGTCACTGTTGGATTGTAATAAGGCTGCAGTGCTCCTGGCAGTGGAAATTAATACTGAAGTAAGACACAAACCTTAAATCAGAACTAATGGCAGGATCAAAAATAAATGTGGAAAGTAAGGAAACAGTCTTATTGGAATTAACCCTAATCATACTTGAACATTTCCTCTAATGCCAGAGAGAGTGTATTATTAACTCTGACATACAGTGAAAGAGTTTCTCCAGCCAGTACAAAAAACTTGTACCTGACTTGTGCTGGGAAACGTAGCAATGCACCAACAAAAGGCAGGAAAGAAGTAGATTGATAACCAAAGGTGGATGTAAACAATCCTGGTTTAAAAAAACTTCAAACAGGCATCTTTGCAAATATTTTTTTAAGAAGGAAATACACTTGTTTGTTTGTTAGACCTCAGGAATACATACACAATGTGTTTCAGTGAGAAACTGTTAACATAACTTTGTGTACAAGAAAACTCCACAGGGTACCTTTAACTTTAATTAGTATTCCTTATTCTTTCCCATGATTGTAAATATTTATATGTTGTTGTTTGTGAATTTTTTTTAAAATAACAATGTAACTTTATTTTCTTGAGATCTTAAAATAACCTAAACTCACATAAACCAAGTTGTTATTATTGTCATTATTATTAGATAAACTCTGATGTGGTAATAATCCATAATGTGACATTTTCTCCCTCTGAAGCACAAACATGCACACACTAAACTTTAACCGCCTCTTTCTTTCCACTAGTGAATAGCTTCCTGCCTTTTGCTTTAACTTGCTGAGAAATACCTGCTGGCTTCTTATTAGCTGCCATCAAAAAGCCAGAAAACATCATGTTGCTTGTTGGGACGGAGGTTTATAGCTACTTATTAGTGACACTACACTACCCCTGATTTCAAGTTCACTTTCTCAGAAGCTCCCTCCATATTTCTTCATCAGAGCACAACATCTGCCACAAACTGCCCTCTTTGTCTAACTCCTCTTATATAACTAATAACTGCTTCCATTGGAATCTGACAGAGAGATACGCACAGATTTAAAGCTTGTTTCCCAGACTCTGTCATATTTGCTCTCCTAAGGCTAAACTCTCGCTCATCGATTTATAGACTGTAGATTTACACTCTCATCACTCACCTACACACACTTTCTTTCTCTCCACTTGTCAGAGTGGAGAAACAGGTGAGGGACAGCAGGGGAGAGATGCTTAACAGCGTAAATCAAGCCTGAACAGGAAGGTCTGAATAGCGAGGGGCCGCTGTGTGTGAGACAGGTGTATAAAAGCGTTTAAAATGTTTTACATGCTTTTTAATGTGCTTCATATGTTATTTTTTGATATTTTGGTTGCAGTTTATAGTTTTCGCAGCCTCAGTGTGTTGACTTCAAAATCCCAGTCATATGTAACCATGATTAAAGTACAACATGGTTTAGTGCGCGTGTAAAACAAACTGACATAGAGACGTTTAAAAAACAGGACGCCTCCACAACCAGCTCATTGTTGTCCTTGACAACAGTTCATGTTTTTCAGTTTCAGATTTTCAGATTATTTTCTTGGCAGCGGTAAAAACAGAAAATAAGATTCATATATTAATATGACAGGATCAGCTGACATGCTAACACCAGCATTCTTGGGCACAGCTGTGTTTCCCTGGGGTCTGATGGTAAAACCATTTCAAAGCTCCATGAGATGTTTTCACTGCCTTCAAAACCTTCAAGGGGAATAATCTTTTCCCAGAACAGTCCAGGAAAATGGAGCAAAGAGCAGCTCTTATTTAATAGCTGCCAGTCTGATTTTAGTGTCGTTATGAAGGGTCACTGCAATCAGTCAGTCACTCAGTTCTGATTAGTTTACTTTGGAAAAGCGACCCCCCTTAAGTAAGCAATTTGTCCTGATGAAGTCAGACTTGGGATAGTGACCAAATCCTTAAATCACATTATGTTACTGTGTGTGAGTGTGTGTGTGTGTGTGTGTGTACCTGTGGCCTTCTCAGGGTTGTTACACATGAAGCAGAGCCAACCTCCCTCTTCCTCACTGTAGCCAAACAGGTCAAAGAAACGCACCTCTTCTAGCTGAATCTGGAGACTTTCCAGGTCCTGAAGGCAGAAGAAAATAAAAACCTCATATTTATTAAGTGTCCAATGACTATATTTAAACTTTATAGCTGGTATTTATTAGTACTGGCAATAATACTTTTTCACAGAACACCTTTTGACATGTCACAGTAGGAAAAGCCCAAGTGTAAATGTTAAAATGGATGAACTCCATTTAACTGCTTCAGTTTCAGGGTCCCGGTATTGTGTAATCTAGTCCACATTCACACTGTCATGACTTACTGGGACACCTGAGTAGAACAGTGCAACACGTAGCCTACAGTAGACATAATTGCTTTCAATATAATGTCTATAACATGAATCATAGATTTTCTTTGATGTTTTCTAATATATATTTTGTGCAGTTTCCTCTTGTGTTTTATATAACATAAATGAGTTGTCACAAGAGGGTCAGTGTAGAATCCATTTTGAAGGCCCTCTCCCTCATCTGCAGCTTATACAAATGTGGGAGAAGTGTGACAAGATGCAAAAAAAAGATGAATAATTTTTGTAAACCAAATTTTCTCTGCTCACATTTGTTTGCTTGCTGTTTATTTATACTGTACACCTCTGTTAGTTCACTCATAACAATGGTGCATTAGGAGACATTCCAGGATTTCAAACAGAGCACAAGTGTTTTGTTCTTTTTTGACAAGTGGTGTACCGAGATGAAAACCAAGAATAGGGGAAATTTATTGAAGTTTATTTCACAGTATTGTGCTGTATTTCTAGTATCTTACTACACAACACACTAGAAGGAAAAGGATGGAATGGGAAAAATAGAGTTTACAGGAGAGGTGTAACCAGACCGAATAACACTGTTAAAGCTTGTTAAAGCTGCTGTACATGCAGACACATGCACATACGGACAACCAGTGTATACACACAAATGATAAGTGACCCTCATCTCCAAGAGGCACTTAAGAGCTTGACATTCCAGTTTTGCAACTGGGCATCAGTGTGTGTGTGTGTGTGTCAGAATAGAAAGCGATGGAAATCAAGACCCCATTTCAAATCCCTGAAGACCCCCTGCACATGGTAAGAGTTATACTTCACTTTAAATACACATGGACACACTTCAGTGACACTTTAACCCACGAGATAATACGTATTTATCTGGTTTGGAGAGAAACAGGAACATTTAAGGAGATGATGGATTACTGTCATCAGTCTTCATGACAAAGAAGCAGTCATTCTGTGTGTGTGTATGTATATGTGTTGTGTGTGTGTTCATAATGTATTTGCAGAGTTTAACCAAATCTCTTCATATTGAATTTACAGTTTAAATATCCTGACCACCAGCCCAGCAAAATACTCTGCTTCATAATTTCTCTGAACTCTGACCCTGCTGCAGTTACTGTCACATTTTCTGATGATCCATTTAACAACAAGAGTGTTTCTCACTACAGCAGAGGTCAACTCACATGAAACGCCCAGAAGGAGCTGGATTTGAAGGAATATAACAAACCAAGTAGCTGTAATGGCTGAGCTACTAGTGTGTTTGACCTTTAGACCTGTGCCCCCTTCAGTCCTTGATGTTAATGAGTGAGGATGTATACGTGAAAGCCGTAGACTTAAAAACTCTCATTTCAACACACACACACACACACACACACACACAGTACTGGCTACCAACAAGCGCACATTTGATTAAAAGAGTGTCAGAGCATTTAGATTCATCCATAAATCAGAGCTTTCTGTGTGTTGTTACAACTTAAATAATTGAGGTCAAAGGGCTTTGCCTGCGGATACAGATAAACTAGGACCATGTGTGGCTGAAAGAGATGGGCCATCTGTGGATTTACATGAACATCAATATTTGGACATGATTCAGGGGACTGAGTGGTCTTCATGGCACACAAGTTGCAACGGTGAGAAATTTTGATTATGATTACTGGGAAAAACAAAGACTTGACAGAGAAAACAAGAGAGAGACATTAAAAGGTCCACAAACTGAAAGTACTTGTACTTCACTTGATTATTTCTATTTTATACTTCTGAACATTTCAGAGGGAAATATTATATTATTTACTTATATTAGAATGATAATATTAGCATATTAGAAAAAATATATATACTATGAGCTTAAAAAACACAACACATTTGCAGATTTAACTACTGATTGTAATGCAGTTAAAAGGGGACGCCACCAATTTTACAAATAAAGTAAGTTTTACTCAACATAAGGAGTATGACTCCTATAAAGAGCTTTCTAAAGATAAATAACTCTAATGATGTCTTTCAGGTAACTTAGTTTCTGCTTAAGACAAAAAAAATTATAAACGAAAGCCTGCCTTACAAACTGAGAGTGTGGCGTTTGACAGATGTTAGCATTTATCAAGCAGAGAGGGTCTATTCAAACATAGGTAAGTGAAGGATTCAGAGTTTTGGGGTGTGACTAATACTAAAAAATGAGGATATCTTGGCTTATCTTCAGTTTCGACCCTCTATGTGAGATCATAAATAGTACCCATTTGAAATCTCCACCTCGACCAACTAAAACAGTGAAATGCTACATATACACTGAAACATTAGTTTTAGCAATCTAATATTGTAATATACATATAATAAATCACTCATAGTACCCACTTCTCTGCTGAATGAAGTACATTCTACTGATAATACGTATGTGTATATATATGTATATATGTATCTGTATGTTTTTGAATGTGGCACTTTTACATAAAATGTAGAGTATTTTTACATTGTTGTATTTTTACTTAAACCTGACTGATTTTTTTGGATGAATCAGAAACAAGCTGTGAACACAACACTGACATATCATCACCTTTGATAAGTGTCATTTATCATCATTTATTTGGACATTTCTGGCGAACATCAGTCCAATATTCACTCTCCTTTTAGCTCTGATTTTGGTCTACACCAACTTCAGAGAGAAATATTTGCCTCTTTAGCTGCTAAATACTCCACTATGTTTACCAGCTAGTCCCTGACTGTTTGTCTGCTGTTTGGTTAAAGATAATGCTATGAGAGCGGTGAGAGTAATTAAAAGCAGTAAAGTGGACAGCTAAACAATGAGCTGAAACTCATTATAAAGCAATGTAAAGCCGGCAGGAGCTGCAGATTCAGGAGATCCTTCCCTATAGCTTCATCTCTTAGATTGTCCCATTGTTTTCACAATGTAGTTTGATTAAAAATATTAAAATATATCAATTATAGCCGCTTTAAGTAAAGGATCTGAATACTCCATTCACTGAATCATGATCATTTTAGAGACAAAAAGTTTAATCCAGGGCACTCATTCAAGGAAATAATGCTACACAGATAAAAGTTATTAAAGTCAAATTATCCCAGGAAAACTCCCAATGTTGTCACTTGAGGCTAACAAACGGGAAAAGCTTCTGACATTTACTCATTGAATAATTTTGGGCTTTACAATAATCTTGATTCCAACCAGTTTTGGCTTTCAGAGAAAATAAAAAAAGATCTTTTTCTGGATTAGACAATCAGATTCATTGCCATAGACAATCAAAAACATGAAAAATGCCAAGGTCATTAAAATAGCTTTAAAATTGTACTGATTACAAAGCAAAGCTGATCTGAATCATCTATTCAAGCAACAAGCAAAGGAAAGAAAGAAGCGGAAAGACAATGAAAGACAGACTGTGAGTCAGAAGTTGAGCAACAATGCTTCAGAAAAAACAAATCAATGAACAATGAGCCCAAAACTGCTGCATAACACAGTGAGAAATGAATCATTAACAAAGTGAAATGAGTAAGATATCACATATGTACTTCCTGGGTCGATTACCAGAAAACCTCAAACTACAGCGTGTGTGTGCGAGGCTCACCACACCGTAACACCAGCTCACAGGCCATGATTTGTATATGGTTTAAATGAGCCTTTAGGAAGATGTTTATAGTGACAAATTTGCAGCCGGGCAACAGGCGGACAAACTCAGTCCCATATTTGATTCATCAGGACAAGAGAGGTGGATTCAATAAAGAGATGAAGAAACAATGGCTGGATTATGTGGATCTGAATCTAATCTCTCTCTCCTCATATAACCCCCTTTACCCTTTCAATATGGCCCCCTCTCTCTCCTTCTGCACCTCACCTCCCTCCCTCTATCACTGTTTGTAGACCATCATTATAATTTGATCAAGATGCAAGATTGTAACTGCACATGACCAATGACAACTGCATGCAGTTGAAGAGAGCTGTACCGAATCTGCCGTTCCAGTTCCCATATTCAGCTTTAATGTGCTGGTTCATTGAAAGAAGAGAAACAAAACAGTCAGAGATATTTCACTAGTCTCACTTATATTTTAAGTTTTGTTAAAGAGGAACTCCACTGATTTTGCACATTACAGTCTGCTTACAGGTCTGGGGGAGCATGAAAAAAGTTGTGCAAAGCCTTTTTTGGCTCCGGAGAGAGCTCTGAAGTCTGATAAACTGCCTCAAATGATGTCACTTGAGTCAGCATCAGCTGGGTCTGAAGACTACAAGTTTGAAAATGAAAGAAATTTGGTGGTATAGAGTTAAAAAGAAGTGAGAGTATCAGACCTCTGTAGCCTGCTCCTCATCTCTGCTTGAGGCTAGCGTCTCCAGGCTACATAACACACCTGAATATCTGACCAAATTGTTAGTGGTTGCTTTGCATTGTGGGTAATCTAGGGGCGGAAAGAAAGGCGTAGGTTAAAAAAAGATATGTCTGGTTCTGCTGCATTGATTTTGATACAATTGTCCACTGTGTGGCCAACAATGTTAGGATATATATAGGACATAGAAACACATTCTGGGTTATTCTATTTTTTGAAAAAGTGAGTCTCTTCATTTACTGATTAAATCACTATGGTAAACAGTTAATTGTAAGGTAAGTTAAGTTTAGAGTCGCTTCCACTCAAAAATGTGTTTTTCTTCTTGTTTTTTACAGTGTGCAGAATGATGTTTAGGCAGAGTTTGACACTAGAAGGATGTTTTCACATTTATCTGCTGAAAGTGGAAAGTTTCTCTGTGCTCACTGAAAATCCAATTTTAGGGGGCGGAGCCTAGGAGCATGATTTGTGACATCACAAATAGTTTGGAAGTCAAAGAGGAGAGGAGAGAAGATGAAAGATAACTTATCGTATAGGATAATCCTTTATTCATTCCCCACCGGGGGGATGCAGGGGTTACAACAGCACAAGAGCAGAAATAAGTACAGATAAAAAGAGAAACTTAAAGTAAATAAATAATTAACAGTGTATAAAATAAAAATAAGTATAGAATAAAATAGACACTGTACAAATAACAGAAACTGAAACACTGCAGTGGTGCAAACAAGCTTACTTAAAGAAAGGAGACAAAAATCCAGGTATCTGCTGCAACAGGTTGCCTACCGCCCTGAAGTAATAAGAGAGGAGAGGAAGGGACAGAGAGGCATTTTGGAGGTTTCCTGAATAAACTCAACTACAGACGGGGAGAGAGAGAGGACAGTAGGAAGCAAAGGGAGGAAGAGGAGCAGAGAGGGGAGTGTAAATCAGAAGAAAGGTGAGTGGATGAGAAGGGGGAGTGTTGGAAAGGCGAGTGGAGGAGACATGGATGAGGGCAATAAACAAGGCTCAGGTTTTCTTTCTGTCTCTCTTGACAGAAATGTTCTGTCTGGGTATAAATGTATGAAAGAAAACAAGGGTCCTGACACTATATGCAAATATTTCAAACAGGCACAAACAGGGACAACAAGTCTCATATGTAAACCAGATCCTTTTGTTCCTTCAACTCTTTCTTTCTCCTTCCCATGCTGCCCCATTCTTGACTTTTCCTTCCCCAAATGTCTTTATCTATCTCAGCTCTGTCTTTAGCTTCATTCTATCTCTTGGTGTTCAGCCTTTCTACCTTCATCCTCTTCCTCCACCAAAGTTGTATCAACAAACTCTCTCACTCTGGGCAGAAGTAAGACAAAAGCTAAAACAATACTTGTCAAGTATCTCAGGCTTCTCAGGCTTCCACTTTGCTCAGTCTCCCATCATATCTCATGCCATGTCTTCCTTCTCTTCCTCTTTTCTCCTGCCACATCCTCTGTGAAAGTTTTTATTTTACTTCTTCACAATCAATTCCTCTCACCTTCTTCCCCCAATCCCCCCTCTTCATTCCCAGCCACCATCCTCCTCTCTTTCATTCTGCATGTTCACATCTTCTTCCTTGTGTTCGGTCTCTCCATATATCACCGTGTTTTTTCTCTACTTTCTCTGCTTCGGTTTGATACTTCTCTCTCCCTTTTCCTTCATTCATGATGTTTTTTCAGATCTCCACTACACCTCCCTCAAACTTATTTTAAATTTATGTCTGTTGTGATAAACACAAAGATACTGCGGCTCTCCAATTACGTGACGGACTGAAAGACTCTTCAGTTCTTTCTTTACTATTTCCATGCTTTAAACACATTACCTTTTTACTGTTACTGCATCTTTCTCAACCTTTTCCTCTTCCCCCCGCTCATTCTTGAAGCTCTTAACTTCTTCCACCCCTCTCATCTTTGCTCACACCAGCTTTGTATTATCTCTGTGCCATAAAACTACTAACCTCAGTTGTCAGAGGCCATACATAAGTCCCTCTTAAATCTCTGAAGCCTCATAAAGCCCTATAGGCTCCCTTTAAATCTTCCTGTCGGTACAAAAATAATCGATAACCTTTTCTGTCTTATATATGTCATAGCTCCGCATCTCTTCTCTCATCATCTTCCACTACATGTGTTTCTGATTGGCTGACAGCGACAGGAGTAAAGATGTAGGACTAATATGGAGTGAAACAAAGAAACAAGGAAATGCAGAGCATATGGATGGAGGGAAAAGTCATGACCTTCTTCTTCCCTCTATCCTGTTAAATCTCATCTTCTTTTCTGTTT